GGTGTGCTGTTCCTCTTGGAGGTTGCGGAGAGGTTTGGAGAGGAGAGTCTAGCGTTTGGAGATCTGACTACAATACATCCGCACGAGATGAGTGTTTTTTGGGGGTGGTTGAGGAGATTAGACTAGCTGCTGGGCGGGCACCGTAAGAGAAAGCGGACAAGTTTGGTTATCAAAAGACTTTCATACTAGATGTTGAAAGAGACGGAGAGATGTCGAGAGGAGAAGGGAAGCGAGTGTTGCAGAGTCGCCAACAAGTCTGTCTGGAAGAAGGCATGGGTGGACAAGCACGTCTGCCTCACCACCCCACCCTTCCCTTCCAGGCTCTTGAAACCTCTCCTCCCTTGATTCGAGAGCCGAAACAACCTCCGACCGATCCCCCAAAGAAATAAACGAACTCGCTTCTTTTTTCTTCTTTTTTTTTTTCTTGGCAGCTGGTTCTTTTTTTGTCGCGAGCGGCGGTCCCGCCCCCTCCAGCGGTCCGAGCGAGAACACCTCGAGCCTTGCCCGCGTCCTGTTCAAGTCGACCACATCGGTGAGACGAGAAGGAGGAGGAGGGCCTTCGTCTATGTAGACCTGCATAACCTCGCCTCCGCATTATACTAGTCGCCTTCGTAGGGCTTTCCTATGTTGTAAACATGTTGGATAAAGCATGCAATCGGGGAAGTTGGATTAGGGTTATAGGGATAGTGTCTGCCTACACACCCCTTCCCTGTTTCTATTTACTCATAAGAGTTATGTTCTCGCGAAGCCGGTCCCAATTTTTATTGCCTCGACAACCCATCGAAACAGCAGTACAACAAGCAACCACCATCCACGCACTCTATTTTGCTCAGGGTGTCGCATGCAATCGTTTCCGTCTCTCGAAGTCCTGTCTGTCGTCTGTGTGTGTGTGTGTGTGTTTTTTTTTGTTACTAGCGTCGACCGCGCTAAGCGTGTGTGTGTGTGTGTGTGTGTTTGTGTGTTTCCCGTTTTTTGCTACGTGTTTTTTGTTTGGGCGGGGGGGGGGGGAGGTTGATTCGCGGCGGCCCATCCTCTTGTTTTGTGCAGTATGTTTCCCGGACTATTCTGCCCTATCATGCGGTCAAAGGTAACCTGTTTCGGTGGGGTATCTTGTAGTGGAGTGATGCTGCCCCTCCTCCCCTGTTGGTGTTAAATGCTCGCAGAATAATACATCTTCCGGCGGGAAGCCGCAGCAACAGGGGAGCGGCAGCAGCAAGGGGAAGGACGATGGCCGCGAGCTTTCGCAGCTGGCGGTGCTGCTGATCAGCCGGGCGTGCGAGAACGAAGAGGTTGCCAACTTTCTCTTCTGGTACCTCAAGCTCGAGGCTGAGGTGCGCGTTGTTGTTGTTGTTGTTGTTGTTGGTGGTGGTGATGGTGATGGTCATGTTGTTGTTGTCGACGTTGCAATGGTTGTTGATGTTAGTGGTGGTGGTGGTGGTGGGTGATGAGTTTGGTGTTGTGTTGTGCGCGCGTGGAGAATTTCGGGCACGTGTAGGAGCACAAGCCCGCGGAGTTCTGCGTTGTCTCGGACAGGACTATTGTATTGCAGTGCCGCTTTTGCTTGGAAGCATTGGGGCCGTTGGGATGCCCATTGTTGTACCCGAATGGTCCTTACGGTAGCAGATGTTGATGGCATGGCCTTCGGTGGTCGTGCGTGCACCCTGCATGCTGATCATCCTGATCTGACGAAGCGTTGCAGCTCTGCACAAGAGAAGCAACTTCATTAATACAACATGTTCCAATGTGTAGTGGCCGGCAGTGGGACAGGGGCACCCGCCCGACAGCTGTCTTCAAATCTCGAGAGAAACACACAGTCTCGTGTTGGTCCCCACGACCAGTCTCCGGAAACGTGTGTGTGTGTGTGGTTGCGTTGAAACTTGGATGTCAACGAAGAGAGGTGCCACCGTGCTCCAGGTCCGTCAATTGATTGCCAAGTATTTCTGCTGTTACCTGTCGTCAACCAGGCATCCTTGGTGTACGCAACTTGGATGCCAATGAAGGTGTGTTTCACACCTCCAGATCCGTGTATTAATTGCAAAGTCATTTTCTGCTGTTCCTTGGGGCAGACTTGCCTATCGTCATACGAGGCGCCCCTGCCTCGGGAAGCAGTCGGTGTCCCAATCTCTCTGACCCTTGACGTTGCTGCCATGTGTGGCTCCCTCGCCCGTCCCGTCCCTCCCACGGCGCAGGGAGATGCCACGCTGAGACCGATGTACTCGAGGGTGCGGAAGGCGCTGATGGAAAGCCTAGCGAGGAAAAACGCACCCTTCGCGGGGGCTCTCAAGGTATGTACGTACAACCGTCTACGGATGGTTTTGTACCATATAGTTTGGAGTCCAATTGGGCCTGCTCATAGACTGCCTCGGTTTTCAAGGTTATGGTATAACCTTGTACGCGGGTAGTTTTGTATACCGGTAGTTTGGAGTCCGATTGGGCTGGCTCAGCCTCGGCTCACCTTGACTGATAGTTTTGATGTTCTTGGTCAGTTTGAAGTCCAATTGGGCTGGCTCGCAGACTGCTTTTGCATCGGGTCTGAAGGAATATCTAGGCTGAAAGGTGTGAGTGTTGTTTGTTGTGACAGGGTGGCCTATCTGTTTGCATCCCGCCGCCGCCCATCTCTCGCGGCCCCTCGCCCGTTCTCTCTTACTCCCCCCGTTCCCCTCTACCTCTCCATGCCTCTCTCGACGCTGTACCGTTTTCATCTCACCCACTTTTTTTCTCGTTGTCTCCCCCCTCGTTGTTGTTGTTGTTGTTGTTGTTATCGTCAATTCTCGTGTTTATTCGGTCACGTAAACAAGGCGGCGGAGGCTTACATGCAGGCCATATCGGCGGCCCACAAGATGGTGAAGAAGAAGGGGGGGAGGGCCCCCGCCAAGACGGCGAGGCTCAAGGGGATTCTCGCAGAGAGACGACTACACGTCGTGCCGAACTTCGGCGTTGGCGGCGCCGGAGGGTAAGCTCGGGCGGGGGGGGGGAGGCGTGTTCTTATGTTCTGCAGGCCTTAGCGGTTAGACCATTGACCACACGTCCTCGAGAGGACGAGCATTGTTCCCACTGGACCGATCACCGATGGGCAATCGTTCCTTCCTACTTTGCCAAAGGTGGCTTGGGCGGGGAGGGGGGGTATTGTTTTGCATGCCTTTGAGTGTTGTGACCCATTGACCGATGGAGGGGGGGGGGGCTTACCTCGGTTGTTGCTGTTTGTTTTGTTCACACCGTCCTTGTCGACGACTTCTTGGCGACACTCTCTCTCTCTGACGGCCCACACCCCCGCCTCTTCTTCTCGCGCGCTTCTTTCTCCTGCTGCTTTCGCTCTTGACTTCGTTTTGTACTGTCGTCGTTACCGAACGC